CCCCGTGGAACACCAAAAATAGACTGTGGGGCCAGGGCATGACACCCCATCACACTTGACTAGAAAACACTCGTAAAGTTCAACAAACAGACCTTGAACTATTTACAGGCTTTTCTTTTTTTTTGTCGTCATTGTTGCTGTTATTTTCTTTTATTTTGTTGCTTTGTTTTTTTCTGTCTTGTGTTTGTGCATATTATTATCTCTGTGTGTCTACCTAGATAAGATAGGAGGGATAAACAATCTGGAGGGGAAATCAACGGGATCCACAGTTCCAGGGGGACATGGGCCAGGGGGAAGAGGAGGAAGGAAGTGGGTGTTAACAAACCCAGGGACAGGGGAACAACAAGAGACCTAAAATTGATGGTGAGGAGGATGTAGGAGGCCTGATGGGGCTTGATCAAGGTCAATGTACCCTAGAGGAATTACTGAAGCCCAAATGAAGGCTGAGCATGATAGAGGGACAAGAGGAAAGTAAAAGGAAATAGAGGAAAGAACTAGAGGCAAAGGACATTTATAGAGATTTTACATATGTAAATATATTTATATATGATGATGGGAAATAGATCTATGTACAAAATTTACAGGTTTAGTATTAAGGAATCAGACGGACATTGCACCTCTACTCAAATACTCCCTCAACACAAGAACACTTTGTTCTAATAATCCGACATTCTGAGATGCACACCTTCCTGACAGGATCACTGTCAGGGTGAATAAGCAAATGTGATGAAGAAAGTTGACAGTGCCAGGCTATCAAAAGATATAGCATCTGGGGGTCTTAAGTGCTTGAAGATAAGTAAGCGGCCATCTAGCTGAGAAGCAACAAGGTACACATGGAAGAAGCACACTAGCCTGTGTGATCATGAAGTGTTGATGGGATCATGTATCAGGAATAAAGGGCCATGTCATTGTGAATTGGGGGCTGGGGTGCAGAGTGGAAACAAAGCCAATCTGTAAGCAATTGGACATCCCCTTAGAGAAGGGTCATGGGGAGGAAACAGACCAGCCAGGGTATAGTATAGCACCAATGAAACATACAGATTTCCTCTAGTCCTTTAATGCTTCCTCTCCCCTACTATCATGACTCCAATTCTTCCTTACAAATCTGACTAGAGCAGAGCATGTACATGGGTACAGATAAGAGCTGGAAACACAGTGAATCCAGGACAGATAAACCCCTTGGGACCAATATTGAGAGTAGCCATACCAGGAGGGTAAGGGGAAGGTGTGGGGAGAAAGGGGCAACCAATTACAATGATCTACCTATAACCAATTACAATGATCTACCTATAACCCCCTCCCAGGGGGATGGACAACAGAAAAGTGGTCACTGTAAGACATGACAAAATAATAATAATTTATAAGGGTTCATGAGGGAGGGAGGGGAGGGGAGAGAGGGGAAAAATGAGGAGCTGATACCAAGGGCTCAAGTAGAAAGAAAATGTTTTGAGAATGATGAGGGCAACAAATGTACAAATGTGCTTGACTCAATGGATGGATGCATTGATTGTGATAGGAGTTGTATGAGCTCCCAATAAAATTATTTATTAAAAAAATTACTGGTATATGCATGCCATTTTTGGGGTGGGCTACCCTCACAAGGGATTAGGTGCTATGATTCACCCAGCCCCTTCATTACAAGTGAATTTTCTGGACACGCACACAGTCTGAAGGTTTTCAGTGATGTTGTTTTCTAAAACCTAAAGCTGCCTTGATGTTTTCTGTGGAACACAGTGCAAAGAACATAGGGCTGAAGTCAGGTGGCCCAGCATAGACACATAACCAGTGATTTTTCCTACCATGTTATCTTTCAACAAGTCATTTTACCTAGTTTCCTCATTTTCAAAAAGAGGTTGAATTCAATTTAAGAAATGAAACAAAACAAGCAAACATGTGGGAAATGTCTACCATGATGCTACAGGCACAGATGTGAGCTGCATCTTAATTATTTCCTACTCTCTCATTTTTTAATGGTAGTATTAATCACAAATGTTTAGGTCTCTGCTATTATTGTGACTTTCAGCTTATATGCTGTCAAGGAATGCTTTCAATGGACCTAGGTTAAGGTCATTGAGAAATCCTTAAATCTAAGGGTTCGCAAGTATCCGATAGATACATCTTGCTGAAGATAACAAGTTCTAGGGCTTCCTTCCTTCAGTCTAAATTGTGAGAAACACTGATGAAAGTGCAGATTTAATACAGAGCTAGCATGTCTTCTCCTCAAAGCATGTGCTCAATCTCTTTTCCTTGACTTCTGATGCTATGCAAAATGTCTCTGCAGTTTTCACTAAGTCTTTGGGCCCGTAGCTTGCCTTCCCTAAGCTAGGGAATGATGTGTCTGTAAGACATTTGTAGAGATCGAGCTAATTTGTAATTAAAAGCAGTGTGCCCAGCCTAAACATCTGACTGCATGGTTATACAGTAACCATGGTGAAAAATCATCTATGGCCTTGGGAAAGAAAAACATATAAGGCAGTAAAGCTTGAATTTGGTCATGCTTCTGTCCTTAAAGATATGAGCAAGTCCAAGTTCTTAGCCGCTTTGGCCTCAGTTACTATGTTGGACGGTAGCAATCACATCTTCCCTGACTGATGACAAGCTCTCACAGCTTAGAGGAGACTATCTCGTGGGCCTAGTTTTGACTCTAGCATCTATGGTTTTCTGTCCTTGGCTGTGTCACTTGTATTCCTGAAATTTGCCACATTTTTCTGGGAGAATAATCATCGGTGATTCTTTATGTCTGGACACCACTTTATATTTAAAGGACCGTGAGAAGAGTGAGTCAGTAAGATGTCTAAGCCAGAGTTTCAATACATGACCAATTCATAGAAAACACTTGTTCTTCAATTGCGCATGAATGTCACTGACTGAGATCTTTGGGGGGATGATTACTTGGAAGAATGCTGAAGCAAGAATAGCAGAGCAGTAATGCTGCCCGTTAGCTAGAGCTTGTGGGAGACAAGAATGTACAGAAGCTATCATAGAATGCTGTACATCTGTTTTAACTATAAGCTAGTTTCTTCAGATAATCTCTTAAGTAGACCAGAAAGTGTTTTCATTCATAGTTCATCTGGCCTTGATGTCATTCCAGGTTAAGGCAATCCATTTCCTTAGCATTTTTCTCTACTATGCCAGCACTCATCTTGGTTTTCAATTCATCTCCCAGTTAATTTGTATAATGAGCACATTGAGATTTGATTAAATATTATGCTTCTTTGGCCTGAGACATTCACTTGTTTGGTCCCTTGTGTGTATGTGTGCATTTCCACCTTTATTTGCTTTAGATCCCATCTGAGCAGCATAGGGCACTCATGTGGAAGCATGCAGCCACCTGGGATGTTTAGGCCTTTCTTATAGACCGTGCTCAATATAGCAGATATTTCCAAAAGAGTGAGTTTATTTAAAGGAAACGGTAGTCTTATTTCTCATGCCAAAGTATAGGCACACAAGCAATTCAGATGAAAAAGAATCTGTGCTTGAATTATCTAGCTAATTGCCTCAATGTTCTACTTTGCCTCAAGCATATAACCATTGCTAGTGAAGCAAAAGCTCACCCCTATAAAACAATTAATCAATACCGATTCATTATTTCCCCCCACCTTTAGCTTTTCTTTAAGCGGAGATTAGTTTTATGCTCATTCATAAAAAGTACAAATATTGTCCATAATGTTGCTCTTAGAAATATGAGGAAGTGTGTTTAAGTTCCAGGAGGTAACAAATCCAAATGCACTATTCTGAGAACATGTTTCCTAAAAGGAATTGCCTTAACCCATACCTGAAGAATAATTTTCAATTTAATTTCAAAATGTAAGTTAATCATTTAAGCCGTCATAAGCAGACAGAGTTTTCAGGGTCTGGGGAATGGTGGATGCTAGGGCCATAGAAAGATAATGTGAACATGAAAAACTTATTTATTATTTGGGAAACATGAAGCGTGGACACGACACTCTCAGAGTCACACGGAATTTCTCCATAGCATTAGAAGCATGGGTGCTTTCTACAGACTCATCTTAGTCACCTCTTAGAGTACAGAAGGAAACAAAATCAGAAGCTTCTGCATAAAATTAAGACTTTTCCCTTGATCACAACAGCTATTTCTTTCATAGTAAGCTTTTTTTTCCCGTTTTAGTGGAAATAGTACTTTGATGCTTTTTAAAGATGTTTTTGAGTTTTCAAAAGGAAACTTTACTACTTTCCTATGGAAATTACATATTATTCTGTGAAAAGTGCCTTAAAGGTAGAGAGAGGGCTCAGAGAAGAGACAAGAGGAAAAAGTAATATGAGATGCTTTCATTTTTGAGTCACCTCTATTTCAGTGATTCCAACAAAGAAAAAAAAAGTAGAGAAATATTTTCTCCCTCGTAAGGCATACACCACTCCTGAAATTTTGACAAAATCAACTGAGGCAAATTAGGGTTTTCAAAGCTAGTCACCTTGTAAATTGGTTGAAAATAATTTGCATTTAAATTGCTCTGTAAAGCTAACTAGAGATTTTTCCCTGGAATGGTATGGCACTTTGTTGCTAATACCTTGAAAAAATACAATTTCATAACCAGTGTATTACTACATCGAGTTGTCTTCGGAACAGGCCCTTCATTTTATGAAATAGAAACATTCAAAGTGGCTTTGGTCAACCAATCACTCAGGAGATCTGAATTCTTCATATCGAAGCCTTCATAGTGAAGTTCATTTGAAACTATATCCATGTTCCACCTCTCTGACAGACACTAGGTCATTAATCGCTCTCACAAAAGCACTGACTTGTTCCTACGTGCTTAATCTGTAGGAGCAAAGATTGTCCCCAGAACTTGGGATTGTTTCCCCTAAAGACATCTTATCTATAAATACAATAGATTTCCTTTAAAAAGATACAATTTTAGTATGATTTCTATGAATTGTTTTTACAAATTCAGAAATACAGATAGAAAAGAAATATTAAATGTGCAAAATGGTTTATATGTACGTTAAAAAATACAATGTAATCATACCATTACACCTGTCAAAAAAGGCCACTGAGGATGAGGGAAAAGTCTTCCATATCAGAAATGCTGGTCATATTAGAGCTTTTGCTGGTGATATTGTAAACAAACTTTTTAAAATGCTGAGAGTTTGCTCAGTTCTTTCCAACCAAGACACCCTCAAACACATCAAGTCCTGCTTTGAAGTAGGCCTGAGCTGAATTAATGCTATTCAACACCTCGGACAGGGCTTCTTGAAGGGTCTCATTTGATGGAAGTGATTTGTTTTGCTCCCATGCCTCTCGGAGTATGGAAAACTGGCTGGCCTTCTCATCTAGGTGGTACAAGATATTTCTAAAAAAAAAAGCAAAACAAAAGAAGAAAAAATAAATATATGTTGTGTGTCAATGTTTTATGCACAATGTCACTTCATGCATCATGTCAAACACGGTTATGAATATTTCCAACAAACACGAATGACTGTATTGAATAGAGTAGAAATAGAGTATGACCACTTTCAACCCTGAATAAGGGCAAAGATAGAGACATCAAACCTCAGTGGTCCCCAGAGATAATCAGACTTCATGTGTCTCCTGATAGAAGTGCCCCAAACAGCCTATGAAGCAGAATAAAGTGGTTGCAGTGCCCCCCACACCCCCAAATCAAATCTATTCTAATCTGAATTTGACAAAGCCTTTAGATCTAACCATAAGTAAAGTCAGACAAAAAAGTAATGCATTAAATGACACCCCAGTGGTTCATAGCAAACTAGAAGCTGTGGGAAACTATAAGAGGGATGACCTAATCTGTTCAACAAATAAATGCCAATGAAAAAGATAAAAGAAATGAATGGGTAAAGATACAACCTCTAGGCTAGGGTTTCTCAATTGTGGCACAACTGATATTTAGGCCTGAGCAATTCTCTGTTGTAGTTTTCCTGTGCATTGTGGATATTAATATTTCCTCTTGTCTTTCCCCACTAGACAGCTGCCAGCAGTACCCTCCATTTGTTGTGCAAACCAGAACGTGTCCAGACACTGTCCACAATGTCCCTTGCAGAGCGGAGGAGAATTACTCCCAGGTGAGAACCACTAGACTAAAAGGAACATATCAATTAGATGCAAAATATGTATCTTACTTGATCTATATTGAATTTAAAAAAATAGAATATAACGTTAAATACTAATGGAGTATCTAATCATATATATGCTTTCTCCCCGCAAGGGTTTTTTATCTTCTAGAAATAAACATGGTGTTATTTGCAGATGATGTGTTACCATGCCTGGGATTTAATATAAGTATTTGTAGGAAAGAAGAGTAGAGCCCCAGATAGAAGAGACAGGATGAGATTGGCCATTAGTTAATACATGTTGAGACTGAATATGAATTCATTAGACTAGTCTCTCATTTTATATATGTTTGACATCTCAAAAAATCATCAATCTCACAAGTGTGAGGGTGTAATAAGGTGGTGCCTTATCCTTTATCCAAGTCGCTGCAAAAGAAGAATTTGGCCGTGGGCAAGTCTAAATCAGCTTCTTTATTCACTGATAGAAAAATAGTCATTTGTTTAGGAAACTGTGATCATTATACTTGGCTTTTTCTTGCCTCAAAGTAGCTAAAACAGCTGAAATTTGTTATGAGGCAGACATGTAAATAATTGGAATACAATTAGCTAATAGAGTAGAAATGCATTTCTAGTGATAACAGATGAAGAATTACCACTGAGAAAGATCCGAGAAAGGGGCACGGAAAGGGTATTTGAAGGGCATCTTGGAGAATGATGAGGGTTCCCCATTACAAAGATTTGAGAAAGGATCCAAGCTGGAAATGGCGAATATCAGTGTTCGAGGTGGAATCAGGGCACGTTTCTATATAATCAAAGTGAAGGACTAGATGGGGCAAGTGCAAAAGAGGTGAGAGTTAGGGTCATGGTCATATCACAAAATATATGGCATGCCAAGATAAAGATATTAAACTTTTTATTTGGGGCTGTAAGAAACCAGTCAAATATTTTCAGCAAGAAAGAGATAGTGATTTGTATTTTGTCAATAATCAATGTGTTTATAATATGTAGCCTGGAGGAGAGAAGACCACTTGATTCTTACAAAAAGGGACAAAGACCTGAGTTCGTGAGAGTAGCGCTTGAGAAGGCAAAATGCATATAAAGGGGCAAGGAAGGGGAGAGCCACACACTAGGTCTAATGGATTTATAGCTTTCCCTAACGCCAACCTCAGTTTTATATAAGGACAGCTTTCTAGATGACTACTTCCCTGCCAGACCAGTGCTCATCTATCTTTGCCACGTTTGCATTGACTTCCAGATAACTTTATTGTCTGTACTCCATAGGCCCTAGCGTGGCACCAGTGGTCTGTCTTTGACTGCTAATCTATTGAAGTAGAAAAAGAGAGGCTTGCCATATGGCTTCCATAGAGATTACAGCCAAGAAAACCCATGGAGCAATGCTTCTCTAGAACAAATAGGATTTCCTTGAATCAGAATCTACTCAATGGCAATGGATTAATGGTTAATAAGCGATGAAGTCTTATCGAAACCACTCAAGTCAGAACCCTGCAAGTCTTTCTCTCTCTCTCTCTCACACACACACACACACACACACACACACACCACACATCTCATACACACACATATACACATCCAACTGGACTTGAATATTCACCATCTTTATATTGTCTTTTCTTCTCTGCTGTTGTGTCTTCATCTCTATTTCATATGATCTCACTGCTTTGCAATTCAAGGTAGAGGACTATGACTATACCAGGTCTTATTCAAGGCTGTAAACATTGGAGGTCTTCAATCATTGTGATTTAATTTACTTAAAATGTTATCAGACTGAGTTCAATGTTGGCAACATAGCGTTTGTTTAAATTACAGTACTTCAATGGAGGTTATTTTGTATTTTAAGTCAGAGCTTGCTTCAGTTAATTTCATGTGATGACAGCTACATTGCATGTGGCAGGGAGGCAGGAGACCCTTGAATCTGCAGGATTTTTCAGTGAGGTTTTTCTCAAAGAGAGTATTTGAATTCAGAACTATTCCTCAAGAATCAAATATTCTTGATTTTTGTGCCAACAAATAAACTTGACATTGTATAAATCAAATAGAATAAAGAAAGAAACGCTGACTGGATTTCTTAAACTTTGTATTAAGAAACATATATTTTTCAGATTTGTAATCATTTTACTGGGAACTCTTACAGATATCGAAATAGTCCATAGTTCAATCACATCAAGCAGTAATGTACAATTGCTACTGAACTCAGTTTAAAGACATTTTCCCTCTTCTTGAACTCCTTGATATCAGCTCCTCTTTATCCCCTCCCCCAAACCCCAGGAACCCTTATTATTATTATTTTCTCTATAATAGTCTTTTTGTGGCATATTTCAGTATCTCCATTCACATCTACAGGCAAGAACAGACATTTTTTTAAATTGTCAGGCTAGGATTCATAGTGGACCATTTAAATTTAATATATATATTCCTAGAGATAAAGAGAAAGCTGCTGCTGCTGAAGCTGTTGCTGGTAGTGCCTATGCACAACTTTAAGACCACGTGGACATCAGAATTAAATGTTGCCAGGTCCCGTGTCATCCTCATAGTCAGCAGTATATTTGAGCCCATTATTGCAGGGATTGTGCAAACTTTGCCAAATAGAATGTCCTCTTCAGGCAATTGATCTTACCTGATGAGATGGCTAAAGAAAGCAATGTGGACAGTGTGCTGTTGCAATCCATACATGGATTTGTTGTACAAGGAACTTTATTCTTTAGCAACAATCATACTACAGTGTCTAATTTTTGATGGTAGATTACAAGAATTCTTCACTTACTCTCTTAGTCTAGAAACTCAACCGACACCTGACTACAATCAGCTGTCCTGCTAGAATTTGAAATGCAGCAGACATAGCTGTCACTATCATCACAACACACAAGCCATCATACTGTAATAAAATAATATATTAGTGGCCGACATACAGAGATATGGCTTATTATCTCAAATATTTGCATGATTAAAATAGTTGAATATATATTTCAATTATTCAGCCATGTGTAAGTACTCTTGCAGATTATTCACATGGATTTATAAATACAAATAGATTAGCATCAAGTCACTTAATAATCTTTCATAATATAATATTGTTGGATTGCCTCCCTCCATTTTATCAGTTTAATTTTTAATTTAAATAATTTCATAGAAAATATACATCAGGAATTTAAGGATGCATAAGATAATTTTAAAGCCTATACTAAATGCTTTCATTCCACAGCTAAGTGACAAACAAAATTGTTATATTCCTTGATAAAAAGAACTATCCTTTAAATGAACTATAAAACTGCAATTAGTATGAGTATTATGAAAAACATGTTTAATGAATGTCAGGCTGTTATAGTGACTTTTCCAAGTTTTCAAAACCCACTGGCATAAAGTATAATCCTACCCTATATTCTATGATCATTAAATGTTAAATATTATTAATATTCAATTTAATGATAAGATGATATTAATAAAACATGCTCATAAAGGTTACTGGATTAATCCCTCAATGGCAATTCATTTCGGCATGAGCACAGTCTCTAATATATTTATGTAAATTTTTAGCTATAACTGTTAGAAAAGAACTAGAAGAGAGATATGTAGGAGAATAAAAATACTTGTACAAAGAATGTTTAGGTTCAGAGCTCAAGAATTTCCATGATTTTTCTTTAAAATGGAAAGTAGCACATAGGTGTCTAGAAGGCCAATACAATGGAACCCTCAGTTGCTAACTCTTGCTTTTTCTAACTAGTAACCAACAGTGACATACTTTTATAATGCCTGAAAACAAGGCATGCAAATAACAGTGGATCTTTTGGGGGGAGATGGAGGTTGTAAAATCCTACAAGGAGCTAAAAACATTTTCCATATGCTAAATGATTCAAGTTGTAGGTTTGTAGCAAGCTATTACACAAGATAAATACTCATATCCATTTCTTTCCAAATTGGAAGGAAATCAGCATAAACATTCAGTTGCAGAGCTTCTAGTTGTATATAAGTAACGAGGATTCTTTCATCATAATTTAAGAGGAAGTTTTATTGCGGGTAGCTCCTGATATAACCTAGCTAATCTTTAGTATATAGTGGAAGCTTAAGTTTCACCTTTCTAGATTATATTACCTTAAAAACCAAGTGAGAATAACAAAGCATCTTCAGGTTTTCATGAGAAAGATACCTTCTTTTTCAGAAGGAATTCATCTTTTTAATTTCCCTTTTCTGGAATAATCATCTTGCCCCATACTTACATAAAATAAATGATTGTACTTGTAGTTCTTTCTATTAAAAAACATCTAACAGA